CAGGGGACTTAGCATGGCTAGGTGCTATGCTGTGGCAGGTAGTGGGGATATAACAGATTTTCTGGTGAGTCTCATTGCAAACTCAGGTAAGCTATAGCTCATTGGACCTCCCAGTGCTGCAGATTGTACAATTACAGTACTTTGGGGAAAATTCACTGGGGCCACACTTAGACCAACAGTCAATAAAGAGAAGCTGGCTTGAGGTCTGCGGGTGGTCAAAGTTCTCACTGTCTTTTAAGACCACGAGAACATGGGGCCAGGGACTCGCCCATTTGTTGCTTAAGGGGTCCTTTGAGACCTCTATGGTTTAACCTGATTCTGCACTATGGCAAGCCCCCCCCCCTTTTGCCAAAGGATGTCAACACTGATTACAATTAATAAAGTGTGGCCCATGTTTTAATGCATAATTCTTGTCTCGTGTCTTTATTCCGGGGTTGAGAGGGCAATATATACTAGGCTAGATAGGGCTACACAGTGAGTAGACTGGATGTTTGGAATGTGTCTGTCCAGCTACAGTCAATTTATAGACTGATTTCCTTCATCTCGTGTAAAGTAATGTTGGATTACACTGTTAGTTGTCTGACTAAGAGCATTGTAATTCCCCACAACAACATGGGTTTAATAATATGAGACTACTCGTACAAGACTACTTTGCAAAACTGGCATAACCTATAGTTTTTCAACCATTTTTATCCCTAGCTCTTAGATAGGAATTTTTGACTCGTATCCTGATTGGCTTTTGGATGCAGGGATTTTTCGCCTGTCCCATACTGGAACAGGGCGCTGGCATGTTATGAGCTGGAAATTCAGTTGCACTGAATAGTGTGGATATAACAAGTTTTCTGGTGAGTCCCATTGCAAACTCAGGTAAGCTATAGCCCATCTGACCTCCCAGCGCTGCAGATCGTGCAATTACAGTGCGTGGAGGGAAACATGCATTGGGGCCAAAACCGGACCAACAGTCAAGAAGGAGAAGCTGGCTTGGTCAAATTATGGCTGGCCGGGTTCTCATTGTGTTTTAAGACCACAAAAACTTGGGGCCAGGGACTCACCTATTTGTTGATTAAGGTGTCCTTTGAGACCTCTACGGTTTAACCTGATTCCGCACTACAGCTAGTCCCCCTTTGCCAAAGGATGGCAACATTGATTACAATTAATAAAGTGTGGTCCGTGTTTTAACCCATAATTCTTGTCTCACATCTTTATTCCGGGGTTGGGAGGGCAAATGGACTGAATCTATCTTTTCATGCTTTCCTCACATCACTCAGGGAGAAGGAATATTTCTTCAACCATAGAGGAGGTAGCATTTAATTTGTATGCAAGGGCTAACTTGTGTATGATGTTTCTCTGGTACAGAGAAAAATCTATTCAGGGGAAATTGTATACACTGGTATTTCAAAAGTGTGCAAGAGTGTGCATTTTGGAAATGGTATCTAGTAAAAAGGTCAGCCATCTTCAATCATCTAAGCCTAAGATGAAAGGAATATTTTAGACCAGTGGCAGCTCATGACTGGGACAGAGGGCCACCCCTTCCATGTTAAGAGGAACTCTCCATCTTGGCTATGAGCTTCCCACATTTCAAATTTGTTTGGAGGGAAGTCATTACATTAATCTAGGCTTTTCCAAGCAGAGCATTCACTCCTGTAAAAAAACTGGGTTCAGCACTAATGGTTTCAGTATGTTTCCTGGCATCTGCATGCTGTAAGGTTTCTCCCATTATGATAGGTATCATTTTATATACCCTTTCCTTCTTTTCACATTTTCTGAATGCCTGGCTTGTTGTGTTCTGTGTTTTGGACCTGGGGGGTGGAGTTTAATGCTATGGTACTTTCTTAAGAAGATTGTTTCTCTCTCTTTTTTTTTCAAAGGCATTTCTCTTTCTTTCTCAAGAATACTGGGAAGCTCTTGATTAGCACACTCATGTTTTGGAAGAATGCTCTAGAGCAGTGGTTCTTAACCTTTGTTACTCGGATGCTTTTGAACTGCAACTCCCAGAAACCCCAGTCAGGACAGCTGGTGGTGAAGGCTTCTGGGAGTTGCACTCCAAAACTCCTGAGTAACCCAAGGTTAAGAACCAGTGCTCTAGAGCATAGCTTCTTAACCTGTGGTCTGCAGACCCCTGGAGGGCCACAATGTCCTCACAGAGGGTCCACAAAGGCTTGAAGAAATGTTACCCTTTTTGGAGTTAGAAAGAAAGAAAGAAAGAAAGGAAGGAAGGAAGGAAGGAAGGAAGGAAGGAAGGATGGAAGGAAGGAAGGAAACGTAAAACGAAATCTTAATTTCCCTTGCTTGTTTCTGTAAAAATTGGCTCTTCTAACCTACTGCTTCCATTAAAAACAACCAAAAATAAAAACTGGTTATGAAAAGAACTGTTTAATATTTTTGCACACAGTGAGACCATGCGAGTGAATGCTGCTGAGTGGCTGAGAGAGAGCATGTGACATTTCTTTCTACCATCAGAAGCCACGGGAAGAGAGAGAAAGTCTGAGAGTGTCACAGTGATTGAATCTTTGGACAGAATTTGTGATCATGTTACTTCTTTGATTTCTTCTAATAAAATCATTCAGTTACTATCAGGTAAAGTGACTTTTTGATAGGATTGCAGTGAATTCCATAACAATGCATTTTGGCTGAGACCCAAAATAGATTGCTGGCTGAATTTGAATTGTAAAAGAAATGATGCTGTTGATGATACTGTTTCTTGTTCAAAGCAAAATGAAGTTTCTTCCAGTCATCTTAAAAAGCGTAGCCGTTATAGCGACAAATATTTGTCTATGAGACCCTTCATGAGAAGATTTAAATAAATATTTGATACTCTTTAAGGTTTTAAATATTGAGTCTTGGTGGTCTGTGGCAGCAAAAGATATTTAAAGGAGGTCCATGGTAAATAAAGGTTAACCTCTGGTAACCAGGTGTTCTTGGACTTCAACTCCCAGAAGTCTTAAACATCAGTTGTGCTGGCCTGGGTTTCTCGGAGTTGCAGTCCAAGCACTGCTCCAGAGGAGAGGTTCCACAAAGAAGATTCTCAGAAAGCCACACTAACCAAAAGAGGACAAAACTGTTGACCAGTGCTGAAGAGCCTTCTGCTGCAGCAAAACAACAAAGAGTTGTGTGGAATTTAAAGACTAAGAAGGCAAGATGCATTCATCTGATGAAGTGGGCTGCAGACAGTAGACAAAAACATACACAAAAACTAACATTAGCTAAAACCCGTTTGTCTGTTAGTTAGGCTTTATTCATGTACATAGTTTCTATGTTCCATATGTACAAAATGAAAACAAAAAAGTAACAATTCATGATTAGAGATGGGCATGAATCAGAAAAAAAGTGTGATTTGTTTTGATTCATGATTCAACAAGGTTGACAAATCATGAATTACAAATTTACAGTTTTTTTGATGAGGTGATGAATTGATTTTTTAATTTAAAACCCTATAAAAAAGAATTGAATTTTATTTTGAATTTAAAACCCTATAAAATGGCTCCCCAAGTACCTAAAACCACCAAAATTACAAGGAAGCTTTACCTGACACTCCTCTACAAGCCTTCTAAGACTGCTGACATTTGGATTTTGGACATCTGAGTTATACTCCCACAAGGGGGGACCACAGGAAGTTTTCCCCTAGGCACCTAGAGATACGAAAATCATAGAAAAGCTTCTACTATCTATCTATCAATTGATAGTAGAAACTGATAGATGAAATCAAGAAAGACCTTTCCATATGGACAAATCTACAACTGTCAATGATGGGTAGAATAGCAACAATTAAAATGAATATCTTGCAAAAATTTTATTCTTTTTCAAACAATCCCGATTATTTTTTAAAAAAATTAAAGAGCTGGAAAAATGTACAGTATTTCTAAATTTATTTGGCAAGGATAAAAAACAAGAATTAGAGCCAAATTTCTGCAAGACCTGAAATCAAGAGGAGAAATGAGACTTCCAAATTGGCTGTTGTATTATAGAAGATCTGGATTGATTTAGATTAAAGAGTGGATAGCATGGAAATACAAGGCTTTTCATATTAGAAGGACACGATCTGAAATGGTGTTGGCACGCACTCCTGTGGTACAATAGAACAGAGGATTTTAAGCAGTTCAACAACCACACACTGAGGAAAGCACTTTTATGGACATGGAATAAAGAACCAGATGTACAGGAGAATTCCACACTGGGTGACACCAATTGAGGCATTTGCCCCCCAAACCTAAGGGAAAACAAGAAAATAGTAAAATACAGTGAAATCTTAAATTTTGATGTCTCTCTCAAAACCCAACAAGAACTAGTGAATCAAGGAATTGAAATGGACTGGTGGGCTCAATCCCAGTTATCATCCAGATTTGCTAAAGATAAACAACAAGGCTTCTATTTAGAAAACATACCCTTTGATAGGATCCTTCTATAGACAGAGGGAAAATTTATTAAGATACTGTATAACTTTCTGTTAGATTTTGATACACAGCAGGAAGAAGTGGAATCTTTTTGATTAAATGGGCACAGAATGTTGGGCACAATATAGAGGTAGAACAATGGGAACAAATATGGAAAATGAATATAAAATTAACTAAATCTGTTACATTTAAAGATAATATTTACAAAATATTTCATAGATGGTATATGATGCCCATAACTTTAGCCAAACATCAAATCTATGTTGGAAGTGCAAACAGAAGGAAGGATCATTCTACCATATATGGTGGATCTGTAAAAAGCACAAAGTTATTGGAACAAAGTGAGCCTCTTGTTACAAGAGGTTCTTGAAAGTCCAGTTCCTATGAAACCAAAATTATTTTATTAAATATTTTGCCAGACTCAACAGATCTTGCCAAAACATACTTGGGCATTCATATTATAACAACCGCAATATTAGTTTTTGCAAAACACTGAAGGAGCCTGAAATACCACAAATAGAGGAACTGATAACCAAAATTTTTAAAACTGTTGAAATGGACAAATTATCAGAATGGCTAGAGGAAACACGAAAAAAAGCAAAGTGTGCTGCTTATATACCGCCCCATAGTGCTTCAAGCACTCTCTGGGCGGTTTACAAGTTAATTACGCATGCTACACATTGCCTCCCCAGCAAGCTGGGTACTCATTTTACTGACCTCAGAAGGATTGAAGGCTGAGTCAACCTTGAGCTGGCTACCTGGGATTGAACCCCAGGTCGTGAGCACAGTTTTGGCTGCAGTACAGCAGTTTAACCACTGCGCCACGAGTTAAAGAACCACCAGAAATGTTGGGAAAAAATATATGTATGGTTTCAAAACAGAAAGAGCAACTGATAATGTAAAAATACGGACAGCCATGTAACTAATAATTAGATTAGCACTAAGTATGTCTGAATTGGATTGTGTAACATATTGAATGTATAATATGACTGAATCATATAATATATGGGAAATATATCAATTGCTTGTAAGGTACCTTTTCAATCTCATGTTATACACCCACAAAGTGCCCTTTAGCAGCTGGTAAACTCAATCTTCATAAATTTGGAGAGATTGTATGAGAGTGTCAAGGGAAGCTGCTCTGCAGGTTTAGTGTATCTAGGTGCATGGGAGTCCATTTTAAAGTCAAACAAATTGTTGAATCAAAAATCACTGAAAATTCATTGATTTGTACGAATACAAATCGACAAATTAGTAATTTTTGATTGAATTTGGTGATTCATTTTTTTCATTTGTGTCCATCTCTACTCAAGAAGTATAGAAAACATCATGGCTGCTATGAGAAGAACTGTGCTTGAACACAAATGCTTGAACAAGAAATCCATTCTTGTAACTTGTGAAAAGCTGCTGGTGTGTTTGCCATCCAAAATTCTTTTAACTGTGATAACTTGCAGATAACAAATACTTTAACGCAAAATCTTAAGTTGGTAGGCAGAATTTAAGTTACAAAAATCTATTTCAGTTATAAGCTTTTTGCTATAAAAGTTACCGACAAGAAGTTAAATTGTATTTCAAGCCAAAAGGCAGAGAGTATATCTCTAAAATGCACCATTAAAACATAAAAAGCATTGTAGCTTGAAGCATTCTTTAGCCTTTAAAGATATTGCTAGACACAGATGAAAAATATTCTAAGGTCTTACCAAGCCGAGCCAACTATGACTCAAAATCCATGTTGTCTACGTCTGTTCTTAGGTGCTTTTGTAAGCTGTGCTACTTCATGTTGCTGCTCTTTGATGTCTGATGCCCAGTATCAGTGTTGCTGGTATCCAGTCTGTGTGACATGGTGTGTGTTTTATCGATGTCTCTCTTGCCTCCCTAATATTCATATTTTTTCTCAGTTATTTACATTTCTCTCCACCTGTATGTCACTGAATTTTGCCAGTATAGTAAATCACAGATCTCTAGAGCCCGTTAGAAAATGTTCAGTGGACTTCTCTGTTGCTTTTACTAAGGTAGCAAACTTTTAAGGGAGCAAATCTTCTTTTATATTTTCACTTGGTCCCCAGCACCTGCTGTAGGGGCTAACTGGTCCCATAGTAAATTACCTGGGTACTGTTTTACTAACAGAGACGTGGTGGCACTGCGGGCTAAACTGCAGAAGCCTCTGTGCTGCAGGGTCAGAAGACCAGCAGTCGTAAGATTGAATCCACATGACGGTATGAGCGCCCGTCGCTTGTCCCAGCTCCTGCCAACCTAGCGGTTCAAAAGCATGTAAATGCAA